CCCGCGTTTCCGCAAAGCATGGTGGTCTATGGCTCAAAGCTAGGAACTCAATACAGAGAGATCTCAGGAACGATTTAGTCATGATCAAGAAAGTAAACTCGACAGCAACAAGAGATTCAGTTTTGCGTTTCGCAATATTTGGGTACGGTACTGGAAATAGGGGTGCCCTTTTGTATAAGTGAGGTGCCCTCCTGTGAACATGACCGTACCCGGGTCCTCCGCTGTACTATCCGTCCTTACAACGACCCTTTCCGACTCATTACGGCTCTATACAAATCTTATGAGACGTGCATACACAAATGGTTGATCATTATTATAATATTATTCCACAAAGCACATTTAGCGAGGGACTTTCATCGTACATTCTTCCCGAATTTTAGACAGCTCAATGAAATGTATTTCATATTTGACAAAACGCACCATTTACGTTGTCTTCACGTTCAAGGTCAGAGCCTGCGAGTACAATCATGCCAAGGCTTTTCTACATCCTTCTACTTCCGGTTATGGCCTACATCAATCATTTGGTAAGGTTGTATTCTGTGATCAAACATGAATTCAAACATGAAATATATGTGAAGGTAATATAAATCATCGACGCTTTCTCTTTGACAAACCGGCAAATTGATTTATTAATTAAACAAATACGTGTTCATTTTACTATTGAATGATTTCATTAGTAATGTTGAAAGATGTTTTGTGAAAAGATCATTTACGTTACGCTGCATTGGAAAATACCATATATGTCTATCAAGGTAGTACATTAATAGGATTTACCAAATTGAATTGATAATACCACCTATATTTTCGCCTGACCCTTATATTTTAGTTCTATTCTACAATAATGTGAACTTATTCAGTTGTAAATTTAAATATACAAACTTTATAATCTTAACAGATATAGTTGACAAATTCCTTATTGTGGTTGATTAAAGTGCGGTTTTATTATTCTGTATAACGGATTCGTCCGTTCCTTGTGATGCAATGACAACCCTACACCATTAGGGTTACAACCACATTGGCAAGTATAAGTGGGACATATGTTTGAAGGGAGAAAAGTATTCAAAACTCAATGACGAAAAAGTGACTTCTTAAGCTGAGGATAACACCCTATTTTATAATGTGACGCTGTTCAACCTTTTTTAACGGAGGTCAAACCAAAGGTAATAAAACAGATCCTTATGTCAGCTTATGTCAGCTTATGTCACTTTTATATATGTGTACACGTGGAGTCATGGTGATCAATCTGCTGTTCATCCGCAACTTGTGGGGACCCCGAGTAAGAACCTAATCTTGTCGTAAAAGTCAACTGAATGGTAGAAGTCAGCCCACAGGATAACGAAGGTGTATATAAACAAACCTATTTTCCACCCATGTACCATACGTATTCCTGTAGTCTGACGAATCTGAATGTATATACATGACAGGGGGAGTCATCTATACCTGTATGTACATTATAGGGGGAGTCATCTATACCTGTATATACATTATAGGAGGAGTCATCTATACCTGTATATACATTATAGGGGGAGTCATCTATACCTGTATATACATGACAGGGGGAGTCATCTATACCTGTATATACATGACAGGGGGAGTCATCTATACCTGTATATACATGACAGGAGGAGTCATCTATACCTGTATATACATTATAGGGGGAGTCATCTATACCTGTATATACATTATAGGGGGAGTCATCTATACCTGTATATACACGACAGGGGGAGTCATCTATACCTGTATATACATTATAGGGGGAGTCATCTATACCTGTATATACATTATAGGGGGAGTCATCTATACCTGTATATACATGACAGGGGGAGTCATCTATACCTGTATATACATGACAGGAGGAGTCATCTATACCTGTATATACACGACAGGGGGAGTCATCTATACCTGTATATACATTATAGGGGGAGTCATCTATACCTGTATATACATGACAGGGGGAGTCATCTATACCTGTATATACATGGCAGGAGGAGTCATCTATACCTGTATATACACGACAGGGGGAGTCATCTATACCTGTATATACATTATAGGAGGAGTCATCTATACCTGTATATACATTATAGGGGGAGTCATCTATACCTGTATATACATGACAGGGGGAGTCATCTATACCTGTATGTACACGACAGGGGGAGTCATCTATACCTGTATATACACGACAGGGGGAGTCATCTATACCTGTATATACATTATAGGGGGAGTCATCTATACCTGTATATACATTATAGGAGGAGTCATCTATACCTGTATGTACACGACAAGGGGAGTCATCTTTACCTGTATGTACACGACAGGGGGAGTCATCTATACCTGTATATACACGACAGGGGGAGTCATCTATACCTGCATATACATTATAGGGGGAGTCATCTATACCTGCATATACATTATAGGAGGAGTCATCTATACCTGTATATACACGACAGGGGGAGTCATCTATACCTGCATATACATTATAGGAGGAGTCATCTATACCTGTATATACATTATAGGGGGAGTCATCTATACCTGTATATACATTATAGGAGGAGTCATCTATACCTGTATATACATTATAGGGGGAGTCATCTATACCTGCATATACATTATAGGGGGAGTCATCTATACCTGCATATACATTATAGGAGGAGTCATCTATACCTGTATATACACGACAGGGGGAGTCATCTATACCTGTATATACATTATAGGGGGAGTCATCTATACCTGTATATACATTATAGGGGGAGTCATCTATACCTGTATATACATTATAGGGGGAGTCATCTATACCTGTATATACATTATAGGAGGAGTCATCTATACCTGTATATACATTATAGGGGGAGTCATCTATACCTGCATATACATTATAGGGGGAGTCATCTATACCTGCATATACATTATAGGAGGAGTCATCTATACCTGTATATACACGACAGGGGGAGTCATCTATACCTGCATATACATTATAGGAGGAGTCATCTATACCTGTATATACATTATAGGGGGAGTCATCTATACCTGTATATACATTATAGGAGGAGTCATCTATACCTGTATATACATTATAGGGGGAGTCATCTATACCTGTATATACATTATAGGGGGAGTCATCTATACCTGTATATACATTATAGGGGGAGTCATCTATACCTGTATATACATTATAGGGGGAGTCATCTATACCTGTATATACATGACAGGGTGAGTCGTCTATACCTGTATATACATTATAGGGGGAGTCATCTATACCTGTATATACATTATAGGGGGAGTCATCTATACCTGTATGTACACGACAGGGGGAGTCATCTATACCTGTATATACATTATAGGAGGAGTCATCTATACCTGTATATACATTATAGGGGGAGTCATCTATACCTGTATATACATTATAGGGTGAGTCATCTATACCTGTATATACATGACAGGGTGAGTCGTCTATACCTGTATATACATTATAGGGTGAGTCATCTATACCTGTATATACATTATAGGGGGAGTCATCTATACCTGTATATACTTTATAGGGGGAGTCATATATACCTGTATATACGTTATAGGGGGAGTCATCTATACCTGTATGTACACGACAGGGGGAGTCATCTATACCTGTATGTACACGACAGGGGGAGTCATCTATACCTGTATATACATTATAGGAGGAGTCATCTATACCTGTATATACATTATAGGGGGAGTCGTCTATACCTGTATATACATTATAGGGGGAGTCATCTATACCTGTATGTACACGACAGGGGGAGTCATCTTTACCTGTTTATACATTATAGGGTGAGTCATCTATACCTGTATATACACGACAGGGGGAGTCATCTATACCTGTATATACATTATAGGGGGAGTCATCTATACCTGTATATACATGACAGGGTGAGTCGTCTATACCTGTATATACATTATAGGGGGAGTCATCTATACCTGTATATACACGACAGGGGGAGTCGTCATCAATACCTGTATATACACGACAGGGTGAGTCATCTTCATACCTGTATATACATGACAGGGGAGTCGTGATCTATACCTGTATATATCTGATGACAGATGTTGTTATTTTTTATGTACGATTTTTATATTATTATTTGTTTCAACCACAATCGCAGTGAAAGGCTTACCGAAAAACATGTTCAAAAATAGCAAATATTAAAAAATATATAAACGCATATCATATTTTGGCATAAGATTGCAACAATTAAGGAAATCCCGAAATGAACAAACATTTTATATTCTAAAATCCGGTAAACCAATGTGGAAAGGCGGGTTTTTTTAACGAAAATAGATAGCTTCCCCTATATCGTAGTTTAAATATTTTTGTAAGGTCATTCACGGGACCATGAAACTAATAATAATCACAAACAAATTCGCCTTCGGCCTCGACTTGTCAACAACACTTGGCAGTCTCCGATATGAAGTTTAAGTTCTCGCACAACGTTCACTTCTCGTAACATATATAACGTGTGCGTCAGTTGAACTCGGCATCGATAATAATGACGTTTCGCGTGCGCATCTATAGATAACCGGATTTGTCCCATTATTGGCCGCTGCCTGTAGTTTAAACGCGCGTTAGGCTTGTGTCGCGTACTAGTCTGTCATACAGACCCTGAAACTAATATATCTAAAACAGCCCATGCAAGTCTATAATGTTTGGCAAGTCTAGATTACAGCAGTATCAGGAAAATCTGAAAATTAAGAAAGTCGCTGGGCTCCTTTTTTGATATTTTATAACTTTAAGTTAACAACTGTTTTTTTTCTGTAAAATATGTTCATTTCAGAGACAAGATGTTAGTCTAGTCGCGTACCAACAGTGGAACCGGTATAGCCCGCAATATCACGAATTTCGCCGTTTGAAGATTTAACTGATGGAGATGCATTCAGCCAGTATGTCGTTAACCTTTCTTTAACCTTTTCAACGCAAACATCGCAATATTTTCCAGGCTGGGCAAATGTGTAACTAAATGAATAAAAAGTGGCAAGCTTGCGTCGCGTACCAACAATGGAACCAGTTTAAGTAGCGTCCATGCAGTTGTCGTTATGATCAGCTACAGAACGCTTTACGACAAAATGGCGGCGCCCATGGAATCTCTTTGAGAGGAAGAAATCGAAATGAAATTCTTCTTTTTATTCATGGTAAGGAGTCCACCACTGAAACTTTTAGTACTGCGTTTTTCTGATGCGTGCTTTGACATAACTGAAAACAACCATGTATCGTGGATTATATTGGATAGCACAAAATAAATTATTCGCTACCCCTGTCGCCTAATGTTAGATAAATGTTAGAGGAGATAATGATCATGAATCTATCTGTCTATAGACTGCCTGTGATCCAGTGAAAAAATGACAAGTGTATTGTATACACCACTTCTTACATGTTGTCATGTCTTTGAAGAGTGATTACTGATAGTAATTTAAGCATTAAATTAAAAAAATACACCCCTGGGTAAAGGAAAAACAATATTTCACCCTTTATCATGTTTATACTTTTAATGCAGATATTATATTTCAGGTTTTTCTCTGGGCAGCTGAACCAGCTCAAGCCAACCGATGCTCCAGGGAGAGCTCCAAGATTGTACGCAATGTGATCAGATTTGTAAGTTTGGTGAAAAAACCCACAGTTGTCATGGTGGTGGTATGATAATGTGATTATTCTGGCATTTCAGTTTACCTAGCCATGAGTATTATAGTTTGCAAGGATGAAGATGATTTGCTGCAGTGAGACAAACTTTCAAATCTGTGAACCCGATTAATACAATACAATAAACACAGGATGTAAAGTTTTAGGATTTATTCAGTATATACATGATATAAAGTATGTATATCTGTGCTGTTATGTAGTCATCAGCTGCAGTGCCAGGACCAAGGGGCCGAACTGGCGAAGACCCTGGACAAACAGTAACAGATGTATATATGTAGGTAGTAGGAATCGAAGACTGTATCAGATTTCCAGAAGCAGCCTTCCTTAGTGGCTGGGAGAGTGCAGTTGATATGTAGGGTCATGGTAGAAGGGACTGCTCGGGTCTCGTGAGGATTGGACATGACAGGCAGAGGCTATCTAGCAAAAGTGTAGGCCTGTAGGATGGTCAAGTGAAGCCCAAATCAGATTGTATTACGGGAAACTTCAGTTGTGGCTGCTGTGTGGAAAGTGGAATGATGAATCCTTTCCTGGAAGTCACAAAGTGGTCGTGCGGCCTCAAGGTAGATCTGAAGCGCTTTGACTGGACATAAAAGATGTCCTCCTTGTCAGCAGGGCTCAGGATGGACACCTGTGACAAGATGGAAACAAATGATCTGGTTGGCCAGGAAGCTGATTTTTCGCGATAAAATTCCATCATAGTCCAAGAAAAACTCAAACTGGGCCCTGTTTATTTTTGGTCTGGAAGTGGTGGTGGGCTAGGTGATGTCAAAAGTGTGACGGTAGGCTTCATGTGCTTTCCACTGGTGGTCGTAGAGGGTCTTCGTAGAGGTATGGTCAGCTTCCGTGATGGTCTTTTTTACTCTCTTGGAATACGAGATCTTCGATCAAGTTGTAGTAGCAATGACTAAGTTGATCGCAACAAGATAAGTAGCCAAAGTAGACCCTAATAGCAAAGTTGAGCTTCCTAAACAGTTACTCTTGGAAAACCCTTGTGCAACAAGTGACCTCTGTAGATGCCCAAACGCAAAGATGGAGAGGTTTTGGTGACGGGTCGAACAGCTGGGAGTGAAGGTGAAGGTGGTCCCTTAGTGGAAGACGGTGGAATTTTCTTTCTGCAAGTTGGACCAACTTAGTGAACCAACTCCGAGTTGGCCAAAAGGGCACGACCAGAAGTTAGGAGACTGGTTGACGCCATTTTCTGCATGACCCATGGTAGAACAACACTTGGGGGAAAGGCGTTGGTATAGAAGCCTTCTCCCGAGATTGCTAGAGGATCGTGGTCCAAGGCTTGAGGATCAGGGATGGGAGAGACCAACCGGGATAGCTGAGCATTGAACCGGGTTGTGAACATGGCAACGTCTGGGCATGGGTAAAGTTGGCAAATCCACCTGAAGATTAATGAGTGGAAGACGTTCTGTCTGTTTGGGATAGGGAGATGCTGTTACCTATACGCAATCCAATGAAGACCAAGAGCAGGATCCATGTTCTCATAACTGCCCGAAGATGAGGTGGGAGATGGTTGATGGTTCCCAACACTACCAGCTGGCGCAGGTACAGCCACCAGAGGAACAGGAACCATAGAGAAGAAGAACGGCCTGTGCGTGTGAGCCTGTGCGTGTGAGCCTGTGCGGAAGTCGAAGAATCCAGATGAGGTACGACAGATAGTCTGGATTGAGTCTGGAGGGCAGAGGTCACTGCCTGAAGGAGCTGTTCCAATTTCTGTGCCGGATCATGAGCTTGGTCTTGATGGTCCCATGCGATAGGGAGCGGATGTGTGGATGGAGTGAGCGTCACTGAAGAGGTTGGTACAGTAGGAGGCAGTCAATCCTCAGGTGGAGAGCGGCGATCCACATGAGTGTTGATCCAGATGAGGAGAGAGAATAGGATGAAGTGTTAGCATAACCATGCCAAGAAGCGCCAGAGTCCTCACGAGAGCATTGATCCCGAAAGCAACGATCCCCAGAGCTGAGACAGTTGATCCTGAGGAGAGCGATCCTTAGTGCGACGACTGTGAGAATGACTATTCCTGATACGGCGACGCTTGGACAAAGCACAAGGTCGATCTTTGCTCCGTTGATCTTCAGTAGAGGGTGAACTCATTCTACTGGTGGAAGCCTTAGACGTCACTGTTGATTCTGAAGTGGTAGTAGCTTCTGTTGATGAGGAGTGAACGACATCAACAGAGCAGAAGACGGGAGTTGACTAGTAGCAAGCGGTCTAGGAAAGCTCAAGGGATCAATCAATGTCTAATACCCCATTCACATGCAAAACAGACCCGTGAAGATCCAGCTTATAATAGGTCTTCAGCAACCCATGCTTGCAGTAAAAAGGTGACTATGCTTGTCATTAAGAGGCGACAAACGGGATCAGGTGGTCAGGCTCGCCGACTTGGTTGATTGCATGTCATCGTATCCCAATTGCGAGGATCAATCCTAATGATGTCAGTTACTGGATTGTCTGATCCAGACTCGAATATTTACAGACCGCCATCATATAGCTGGAATATTGCTGAGTGCAGCATTAAACAACAAACAAATAACATGCACAACTTTTACTCGTAAGTAATTTTGTACATGTGTAACTATACATACGGACCCATGAAGATCCAGGGTAGAATAGATCGAATAGATAGATGCTTGTCATATATACCTGAAATATTGCTGTGTGCGGCGTTAAACAACAAACAAACCATACGTACATGTGTATATGTACAATTACTATGCGTTCACATGAACAATAAGTAAGGTGTGTAAATAAGGTATGTAAATGGTGTAACTGTAAGGCACACAAATTTATCAGCCTGTTCATCATTGTTCATGACTTTCAACATGAAAAGGTTGTTTTCAAATCAAAGTCGAATGTGATGAGAGTTACGTTACAGCCATGCACGGAATGATAGTGCATGGCCCATTTGTTTGGAAGGTGACCATGGTGATGCTGGGATGTTTTCGGGTGAATGGTTTTTAGAAGCTGGAAACTTTCTTCAAGCGCATTTCCACATCTTTTTCGAGAGAAGAAAGAAATGCATAGTGTGATATAGGATAAGTTTAAAAATTACTGAAATACTTTAAAGTGAATTGTTTGACATGGTCACAGACTGTTTAGCATCCTTGAAATCAAGGTCTATATATAAGGGATGGGTATTAGTAGGTTGGTTGTAATGAAGTTAGTCTGAGGCTGTCTCCACCCGATCATATACAGCCAGATGTTTATACGGCCACAATAACCAAGCATGTATGAGTACCGAAACTAATTTAAAATGTATTTATTTTAACTCAGATGAAAATCAGGATTGAAAAATACATCTCCATCACATCTGTTACAAATAAATGCAAACCTGTTCCGATTGAAGCCAAGAGGCAACTGGAGACAACAAATGTAAATGCACATGTACTCAGCTTATTACGCACGTCAAGATGTAGAAAGCGAATGAAACATTGATTTAAAGGTTGATTGAGGTTGTTTCCTTAAAGAACAACCCTTGAAATAGCATCATTTTGTTCAAACATAGCAGTTTTCGTATATACAGACACTCATTTACTTTGAGAAAAGGATTAAGGGGCAGTGGGGGAGCCTTTGGGTTTTGCGTGGGTCGTCACGCTGAAGACCACGTTTCGATTCCCAACATAGGTACAATGTGTGAAGCCCATTTCTGGTGTTCCCTGCTGTGCTATTGCTGGAATATTGCTAAAAGCGTCATCAAACCATACTCACTCATGGGGAAAATGTTTTAAATATTTTTGTATCATCCCTAAAATATTATTGACAAAATAGTCAGACTAAGAACATAACGTTCAGGATATAAATATGTTAAAGATTGTTTCTTCTGTTTTCATAAATTGAAAGTCTTTTAAATATTTTCATTTCAAGTGTGATATTTATTTTATTCCACAGAAACTATGGGATATATACAAGGAGATTGACAGTCAGATGCCAGATTCATGTCCCTTTTCCCTGCAGAGAGACATCTACTATGAACAGGTACTGTGTAACCATGGTAACATGTCAGTAGGCAATGCTAGGAGGTGAGGTGAAATGGGGTTTAACATCATGTCCAAGATTATTGCACTTATATAGTTGCATGTGTGAGTGCGTGCGTGCGTGCGTATGCGTGTGTGCTTGTACTAGTCCGGACTGATGCCAATTTATAGTGCTAGTACACTGTAGTGCCACAGTTTCACATGAATACCCCACTCAGACACAGTATACTGACTCCGAGCCGACCAGTCCTTGTTTTAGCCCCTTAATGCCGAGCGCCAGACAGGGTAACAAGTACCATCTTTTATCATCTTTTGGTATGACGTGGCCGGGAATCGAACCCCGACCTTCCGCACTCCGGGTGGACGCTGTACGACTAGACTGTGGAGGCGGTCCAATGCTAGGAAGGGACTAGGATACACATGAACTCATGGTGATAAGCAGTATCTGAGTATGCACCCTGATTAATTCTGTCAAACTGGAGACCTTGGACTGTGCTTTGCGGGTTGTTTACTAATAAAATTTTAGTATAGGAGAATTATAACCACAGCTAAAAGAAATTGATCTGTTGTCATGGTTGTTGATTGAAAGATACGTCTGAACGACATGGTGTAAACATATACAAAATAGCAAGGACATTATTATTCATCTTTCAGAACTGACACTTCTTCATTGACAGAGTGAAAGATTTGCTGTTTAGAATGTTTACTCACTTCTATTGCTCCATGATTGACTGATTAGACAGTTTAGCTGATGCAAGGATTTGTCAAGTTTGACAGAGAGATGTCTCGAATCAGAAGAAAAGATCTGATTTTAATGAGATTGAGGAGCACTACGTGGCAATTTCTTATTTCAGGAGCACCACAAAATGATGGAGTCCTACAACAAATGGAAGTGTGATTACTGTGGGAAAGCTTTCCTGGCTGAGCCCTTCATTGACCGCCACTTTGACCGGAGACATCCTGATAGTATCCAGCAGGTAAAGCAATTCACCCCTCACACCAGCCACAGTTGAGGACTTGACTTTAAATTTTAAGTCATCTACTTGTCTTGTCGTATGCTTGTCATCAACATGCTAATCCGACAAACAAACAGAACTTGTCCAACCTTCCTGATTTTGTGTTATGGTACCATGGTGATTAGGATTGCAACCCCTGTGGTTTGTTTGGACCAGACTTGATTATTTTCAGGCTGCGGTGATCGTCGTAATATAGCATGTATAGCTGTCTCATTGCTGACTGTCAAGAAGCAGCTATAACTCACTGTATCTCCTTGATTATTGTGATGTGCATTGTCTCTTGTCTTGCATTCTCCCTCCCCTGTTTCCAACTCTGTAGGACATACTATATGTAACACAACTATTGTCTGTTGTCTTACATTCTCCCTCCTCTGTTTCCAACTGTGTAGGACATACTATATGTCACACAACTATCACTATTGTCTCTTGTCTTGCATTCTCCCTCCCCTGTTTCCACCTGTGTAGGACATACTATATGTAACACAACTATTGTCTCTTGTCTTGCATTCTCCCTCCTCTGTTTCCAACTGTGTAGGACATACTAAATGTCACACAACTATTGTCTGTTGTCTTGCATTCTCCCTCCTCTGTTTCCAACGGTGTAGGACATACTATATGTCACACAACTAATGTCTCTTATCTTGCATTCTCCGTCCCCTGTTTCCAACTGTGTAGGACATACTATATGTCACACAACTAATGTCTCTTGTCTTGCATTCTCCGCCTGTGTGTGTCTTATGTGAGGTGTACCGTTGTGCAGGATATACTATGTGTAACACAACTGTTGTCTCTTGTCTTGCATTCTCCGCCTGTGTGTGTCTTATGTGAGGTGTACCGTTGTGTAGGATATACTATGTGTAACACAACTGTTGTCTGTTGTCTTGCATTCTCCCTCCTGTGTGTGTCTTGTGTGAGGTGTACTGTTGTGTAGGATATACTATGTGTAACACAACTGTTGTCTGTTGTCTTGCATTCTCCCTCCTGTGTGTGTCTTGTGTGAGGTGTACTGTTGTGTAGGATATACTATGTGTAACACAACTGTTGTCTGTTGTCTTGCATTCTCCCTCCTGTGTGTGTCTTGTGTGAGGTGTACCGTTGTGCAGGATATACTATGTGTAACACAACTGTTGTCTTTTACAGACTCCCTCCTCTGTGTGTCTCAGTGACTACTGTGATGTCTACCGTTGTGATGTGCTCTCCGGCCATCGTACAGCAGACTTCTGGGATATCAAGCTGTGTATTGAGGATGATATTGTAGAGATGAAGGACAAATGCAGGGTCAGATGATTTTATTGTGTCTCACATCTTCTTTGTAAGCATTACTTTGTATGGAATTGAAATGTCATCATGTCTCCCCACAAAGGGACCTTGGGTTGAACTCCTCACATGACAGCCATGCATGCTTTTCTTAAGTTCTGTTACACAGCTTGTTTATCATGCTTATCTCATGTATCTAGTGAATTTTTAATATTTCCTAACAAGAGTCAATTTTGCCCATATATGTTTAAGAAACATTTTTCACTTATGAAAATGAGGAAAAATCAAAATGATTTATGATATTTGGGTGTTGGCGATAATAGGGTGCTGGTGATAATTACTACTTGGCGATTAACTGGTCCCTAGCCAGTAGGGGAATATTGAAATTCAAAACCCTAAGATGTATGCTCCTCTGCCTTATGCCAAACATATTTTGAAGGACTGTGTGAAAAGCGGACATTTAGATTCCAGCCAGACTACACTTCTACAAGTGAAACAGTACTGTTGGTTAATGAATCCACATCACCACTGGCACTGTTGTTTCTTGCAGGCATATATGGCTCAGTGTATTCCCAAGAATTTATCACAAAATGTCACAAGAAAGTTATCAGGTATGTAGTTTTTACTCTTGTTCAAGTGTATAAGGTGGCAGTAGTCTTGTTATTTCAAGCTCTTAGGGAAAACACAGCTGTAGTAACCTGCTGGTGGACATTGAAACTGTTGATGAACTTTAAGAATAACGAGAGTAGTTGATGATGTGTGCTACCACTCAGCCTCAGTACCATCATTAACAACACTTCCCACATCTGACACTGTAACAGCCTCAGTGCCATCATTAACAACACTTCCCACATCTGACACTGTAACAACCTCGGTACCATCATGAACAAAACTTCCCACATCTGACACTGTAACAGCCTCAGTGCCATCATTAACAACACTTCCCACATCTGACACTGTAACAACCTCGGTACCATCATGAACAACACTTCCCACATCTGACACTGTAACAACCTCGGTACCATCATGAACAACACTTCCCACATCTGACACTGTAACAGCCTCAGTACCATCATTAACAACACTTCCCACATCTGACATTGTAACAGCCTCAGTACCATCATTAACAACACTTGTAACAGCCTCAGTACCATCATTAACAACACTTCCCACATCTGACACTGTAACAGCCTCAGTACCATCATTAACAAAACTTCCCACATCTGACACTGTAACAGCCTCAGTACCATCATTAACAACACTTCCCACATCTGACACTGTAACAGCCTCGGTACCATCATTAACAACACTTCCCACATCTGACACTGTAACAGCCTCAGTACCATCATTAACAACACTTCCAACATCTGACACTGTAACAGCCTCAGTGCCATCATTAACAACACTTCCCACATCTGACACTGTAACAACCTCGGTACCATCATGAACAACACTTCCAACATCTGACACTGTAACAGCCTCAGTGCCATCATTAACAACACTTCCCACATCTGACACCGTAACAACCTCGGTACCATCATGAACAACACTTCCCACATCTGACACTGTAACAGCCTCAGTGCCATCATGAACAACACTTCCCACATCTGACACTGTAACAACCTCAGTACCATCATGAACAACACTTCCAACATCTGACACTGTAACAGCCTCAGTGCCATCATTAACAACACTTCCCACATCTGACACTGTAACAGATGCAACCCAGGTTTGGATGGTGAAAGGCAGGATGATGAACCTGTGTGTCCTGTGGTTGAAAGACTTGATAGACACTACCAGTCAGCGTGGTTGCTTAACTGGAAGTAATCCTGGTTTCCAATATGAATTTAATGAAAGATTTAAAAACATCTAAAGTGTATATCTTTACTCTTCCCTGCAAATGCATGAAAACCTCTTGAAACAGAGACTGGAGTGCACTTTTTTTGACATTTTGAAGTAGTTTCAGATTCTTTATTTTTGTTTTTACAATGTTTGTTTAAGGATTATAGATACATTGTTTGGATGAGTTTGTAATAAAAATGGAGCTGCCTACATGGTTCATTGGTTGCTTGATCTGTGCATATTGTGCATTGTTTTGCAATGAAGTTAAGTCAATGTGACCTGCCGATATTCATGTATGTGTCCCTATTACTTAATGGCTTGAATACAGCTTATGTAAGACAGAAAGGCCCAAAAGGCATGTATTCATGGAAATGATACACAAAGAGCCTGAGTCAAGTTACGAGGTCTTTCTCCGAAAGTATACACAAGAATGCAACCCCAGAGGTTGTTTTTCAATGAGCAGTTCCGTGCAACAGTTGCACATGCATGTCAGGATGTATTATTACCTAGAAAGAATTCATACTCAGAGCAACAAAGTGAGGTCACAGATTTATATATGTTTTTTTAAGAGTCCTACGTGAAAGAGCAGTTTGGTATATATTGTACCTGTCTAAACAAGTACAAGTATGTGTTTCCCATCCTATGAGCTACACACTTCTTGACTGTTGCAGATGAGTTGGATGAGGCCGTCTGCTCCTACCTGACCTGCAGCAAGTACTGGGATGTGCCAGTGGCCGGGGTCAGTGTCATCCCTACTCATGTTTACAGTACAATTACACACTGTTGAACCAGATTGTACATGATTACTGGACAAAAAAGATATGTTAGTCGACTTGTCACTTCCCCTAATGTTGGTCTTTGGATCCACATTGTCAAACACCAGATTATCCCAGAAGACTTGAATAGGTGCATCAGACACAAAGTTTGTTTTCATACATCAGTAGAATTATTATCGGAACTATAAATATCAACCATTCATTTCGTACTCGTTTCGTATTTTTATCCAAAATGAAAGCCTTCTTGGTTGTTTTGGTTTAATTGATAACTGCACTTTCACAAGATATTGTAAGGTTTTCCTTCTTTCTAGTCGGATGCTGCAACAGCAATGTACATCATCATGTCCATCCTCATCACCTTCAGCGTCCTCGTCTACTACTGCATATTCTACCAGTATTTTTAGTAAGTACAACAAAGCTGAAGTGTGGGTCTAAAGGCTAAAGTATATTTACCAAACTAATATTTGTTAATAAGGAAAGCTAATGAAAACAATTATTTATTTTTTTCAGCACGGATGCATTTTCTGACAACATATCATATGATCCAATTATTAAGAATCATCGAAGTTACAGCATCAACTCTCCAAAAGGTGACATCAGACAACGATCTCAACATGGTTTACCCTGAAATAACATTTGTGAATGAACATTGTGTGTCAAGGCCTTGAAAGCTCTACAGCATGGTGTTTTCTTCCCTTCTTGACAGATTGAACCAAGATTGACAAACCGCCTTCATCTCGAATTATTTATTATGGATTTTTTTAATAAAAATATATACACATGAATATGTGAAATAATTTTATTTACATTTTCAAGATTTAAATCAGCATGGTTGGCACATTGAGACACTTTCACCAGGTCGGACACATTGTCTCTCTCCTGACCTGGATGGCACATTGCAACACTTTCACCAGGTCGGATACATTGTCTCTCTCCTGACCTGGATGGCACATTGCAACTCTCACACTTTCACCAGGTCGGAGACACTGTCTCTCTACTGAATCTGTTGCACCATCATCAGGTCGGACACACCACGACGCTCTCACTTTCACAAGGTCAGACACACCGCGACGCTCTCACTTTCACAAGGTCAGACACACCGCGACGCTCTCACTTTCACAAGGTCAGACACACCGCGACGCTCTCACTTTCACAAGGTCAGACACACCGCGACACTCTCACTTTCACCAGGTCAGACACACCGCAACGCTCTCACTTTCACCAGGTCAGACACACCGCGACGCTCTCACTTTCACCAGGTCGGACACACCGCGACGCTCTCACTTTCACCAGGTCGGACACACCACGACGCTCTCACTTTCACCAGGTCGGACACACCGCGACGCTCTCACATTCACCTGGTCGGACACACTGTCTCTCTCCTGACCTGGATGGCACATTGTGACACTTTCACCAGGTCGGACACACTGTCTCTCTCCTGACCTTGATGGCACATTGCAACTCTCTCACTTTCACCAGGTCGGACACACTGTCTCTCTCCTGACCTTGATGGCACATTGCAACTCTCTCACTTTCACCAGGTCGGACACACTGTCTCTCTCCTGTCCTTGTTGGCACATTGTGACACTTTCACCCAGCATTGCTGGCACTTTGAAACAGTGGCCCAGTCCAGACCTACTCCGCCATGTGTTGTATGTCACACCATCAGCATGGTTGGAGCCTTGAGACATTCACATCCACAGCCAGTGGGACACACCAACTCGGTGCGGAACCACTCCGCCATATGCTCCGTGTGACCTCCATGAGTGCATGTGATGCAGAAGTTGGCAGCTCCTGGAAGTAGATATTGCAACAGTAAGGACAAACCAACAAGCCAACTATATAGTTTCTTACTACTTGTATTGTTTGACACTTACCTCGCACTCCCGTGTGGCAGATGGCACATTCTAACACAAGATGTTTGCATGATGTACATTGTGGGCCTCGGGCTTCTCGATGGCAGACTGTGCAACGCACAGAAAACTCTGAAAGCATACACAACATGTTTATAAAAAGCACCACAGTAAAAATGTAACTTCTACGACACACAATGAAAAGGACTGGGTTCTAAAGGTCCAGTGTGAGTGAGTGGGTGAGTACGGAGTAACCCTCTGGATGCCGAGGGTTTTTTCTGGCGAACATTTTCCTAAGATCGGAAAAGTGAAGGTTGTGCGAGAATTGTGCTCACGCAGCACTGGATCTACCTCTGGCTATAAAATTATGCAGAGGTGGAAAATATTAAATTTCCTATTTGATGGTGTAAATTTAACTGCAGATATTAAACAGGTTTTAAAAAGACACTTCTAAGTGTTGTCCGAGAATTTATTCTGCGTTGAAAAACAGTAAATTTCTCCGCTTTTTATCGTACACCAAGTACTGTGCAACAATTTGTTTTATTTAGAAGCTTTACGGAAACTGTCAGCGAACAAAATACTGCCTAATATCTGAACGACATAACTACATATCAAATGAAGTTATATGCATATGTATAACCACATACATTCAATGCCAAAAATAGCATAACGTAAATGACTGATTTTTCTGACATCAAAAGGCAACAGAGAGGTTACACACGTACAAAGAAAAGGGGGCATAACTCCGCTATGCTCAGCACTAGTTTATTGTAGCTCAGGTCAATTGGTGAGAATTAGCTGTGGATAAGGACAATACATTTTTGTGGTGTTTTGTTCACAAGGAAGCAAACTAATCCAACACAAATATCCATATTGAAACTGTATACGTTTAGTTATTAAAAAAAACAACATAAAAAATGATGAAATCGTAAAAGAGAAATGGATGGCCCTATCTAACCTATAACTTAGTCCTTAGATTCCAACATTCTCCTGATTGTGTAAGTGTAATTTGACTAATGTTGCACCATTATTAATGGAGCACAAGCCTTATCATCAAATGTAATGAAATACCCCAAAAATAACACCATTCCTTTTGACGTCATGGCTGGTTTTATGTCTTTGATAACGTCGGAGAAAGACGACACTGGTATTAAGATTAGTATATATCTCCCATAATTTTCGTTCATGGTATGGAAAATCTTGATGTGTAAAACGGAATTTGACGCTTTTTCGACACAACATAAAATGACTGCTTTCACCAAGTAAATAATGTCTTGAATATGTAAACGATTAGATAGTTTATCGTGCATCTTAAATGGACAAGACGCACCTGTTTGGCATCAATTTACATAATGAAATACCCAAAAGAATATTTCAAAACAACCAAAATTATATTGAATATTGGACATATATTTGTGCATTATTATGTTATCATTTCTCTTCATCTCGTCTCAGAATTACACAATAAAAGATGCGAAGAAAGCTCTATTGGTATAGAATTATCAGGATCATCGTACAGGGTACCTGGTACCTGGCATGGGTTATATTTTTCATACTTTTTACAATTCCTTGAGAAATAAAGTAAACAGTTTAATATCCTGTGATCACAATATTGAAAATAAGAATGAACCCATTGATTATATAATGCAAAACGAGAGGAATAATTCGTAAATTGTTTGTGACTAACGCGCACCTGGCGAATCATTAGATATCACTGTTCTGTACATCAAACGACATAAAAAACATTTCAATTGAGAAATGTGTGCATAAATTTTAACGAAACATATTATCCATTTTGTTAAAGTAATATATTCAGTTTTAGTTATAAAATAAAATGAAACGGCTATTCATGAACATTGGTTATATGAACTTATAATATTGACTATTACACAACCCAAGAAATACGTACATGCTGCAGTTACATTTACACTTCATCTTGTAACACTTGTCCAAAGGAAACAACAAAACAAACCAAAGGAAAGAAATATCGTATTTGACATTATAAACCTATACATTCTTATGTAAACAATGTTCAAACAAACAGATTATCAAAGGTTCTTTCATACATGTTGTGGCCTCTATTTACGTATGATATCATTTTGAAAATTGACAAATATCCAAAGTCAAATTAATTGTGTGAAAAAATGTATAAAAGATATGCAAAATCTGCATCTTAACTGAAACTGTAAACAGCATGATAAAATGATCGTGTGCACTCTCATTCAAGGACCGTCACCTCAAAGAAATTACCAAACATGTACAACAATGTTGACGTATGACATCACTACCAGTGACTGGCTTTTACTAAATGGCGTGTTCACTGTCATCAATAGGCGGGATTTTACGAGTACTTTCGTGGATTCAGGGATCGTATATACATAAATGTGACAATCTATGTACTGTTATTTGTTGTTATATTTTTCATTGAAACCAACGGAAATAGTCAGAAATTCCGATAAATACCGTCGTTGTGCGTGATTTTGCGTCAGTCATGGCGTCACACATGACGGCAACTTTGACAATTTCTGTTGAAAATATCAAATTATTGCAATGTATCTATTTTAAATTCCCTAATTCTTCCTACGATTCTCTTTCCATGCATATTCTGAAAATGTTGAGCCAATATCTTGAACGAATAGACGAATGAATAGCGCAGAATAGCAGAAAATGCTACACTGTGTAAAATCTGAATTTTGCTTTGTTTACTTTTCAAACAAGTACATTTTTTTAGCACAGCGTTTGTTTTCACAGCTCATTTATTTTGCTTGATTTCATCTACGTGATTTTGTAAACATTATCCAATATGGCGGAAATTTCACATCAGCATTCGTGTTTGCATATTTTCTAAAACATTCGAAATGATTGTAGGGTTATCGGAGACGTTTTGGAATGATCATTGGTGATTTCATATAAGACAGATACACGTGATTACTAATATTCTATTTTTGAAATTCATTTCTCTGAGTAAATATCTGAAATTTAGATTTCAAAACATGCTGTAAACAATGCCGGAGTGGTGATTTAGCAATGTGTAAAAAATGGCGACATTTACGATGTACCTAATTTTCAGAGATCATTTTCAGTACTTTTGCTTGGCCTAAACTGCCAGTGGATGATATCACAGAACAGGAAATTTCCCACCTTATTCAAAACTGTGAAATGTATCTGTGTGGGTGATGTATTTTTAATTTTATTCGACTTCCAAGTGGGGGTTGTAGAGGAGGGACATGTATGTCCCTGTGGCATCCAGGGGGTTAAGGCACATTTAGCAATATTCCAACAATATCACAGCCAGAGACACTGGAAAATGGCCTTCACACATTGTACCCATGTGGGCAATTCAGCACTAGGCTACCATAAAGGCAATAGAATCCTTGATTAGTCATTGACGTTTAGGCCTGGAACAGTTTTGTGAAAAAGATATTTGTTGAAAAGTCATGGAAAACAATATTACAGAGCTATTTTGTCTGGTGATAAGTGTCAGTGACAGGCAAATAAGTGCTTTGACCAAAGTGAAGGAAAGTTGAATTACTTGAGTTAAGATTGTGATTTTGATTTTATTGATATACATATAAATGCCATATCATGGAAAACTGGCATAAATACCCTAGATATTCATGGAAATTTGTCAGGCTAACAGTGTCTGAAAGGAGCTGGCCATTTTGTATGTAGTAGCAGTCGAGATGGGCGTGTTGAGACTGGTCTACACAATGAGCCACATCCTGAACAGGCTTCAGCTTACTTGACCTACGGGATGCAACTCTCCCATCTTGAAATGAGTCGTGACTATGGCTGTTTGAGGTGTGACTTTTCATCCCTCTTGACAAGGGGTTACAGACAGAAGACTCATCCACCCCACACAACTATCTAGTTATTCTTCCTTACAATGGTCAATAAATTTAGAGGACCAGTTACTTTTGCTGTTGAGTATATAACATAACAATTATGGTAATGTGGAGATGAACTTGAGTATGCGAGCTACATGTTACCTACCAATTCCTTTATGTGGTGGAGGTGAGCTGGAGTATGTGAGCTACATGTTACCTACCAATTCCTTTATGTGGTGGAGGTGATGTGGAGGTGAACTTGAGTATGTGAGCTACATGTTACCTACCAATTCCTTTATGTGGTGGAGGTGACGTGGAGGTGAACTTGAGTATGTGAGCTACATGTTACCTACCAATTCCTTTATGTGGTGGAGGTGAACTTGAGTATGTGAGCTACATGTTACCTACCAATTCCTTTATGTGGTGGAGGTGATGTGGAGGTGAACTTGAGTATGTGAGCTACATGTTACCTACCAATTCCTTTATGTGGTGGAGGTGAGCTGGAGGTGAACTTGAGTATGTGAGCTACATGTTACCTACCAATTCCTTTATGTGGTGGAGGTGATGTGGAGGTGAACTTGAGTATGTGAGCTACATGTTACCTACCAATTCCTTTATGAGGTGGAGGTGATGTGGAGGTGAACTTGAGTATGTGAGCTACATGTTACCTACCAATTCCTTTATGTGGTGGAGGTGAGGTGGAGGTGAGCTGGAGGTGAACTTGAGTATGTGAGCTACATGTTACCTACCAATTCCTTTATGTGGTGGAGGTGATGTGGAGATGAACTTGAGTATGTGAGCAGCCTGGTTGTGTAAGCCCCATTTGTACAGCAGGTTGGAGTAGGCCTTCTTGTACAGATCGTACTGGGACCATATGGCCGGGTCCAGCATTCTGTGGACCAACAGAAACACACTGTAGTGTACTTCGGGACTGAAATCTTCAACAGCCCTAGAATTCCATTTTGTAAACCTGTTTACCTTAACCTCGAATCTTAAACTGATTCAACCTCATTCACTTGTCCCCAGACCTTGCACAAGACAAAAATGTTTACTATATTTACATTTTCTGTCAGTTCATCTGTTCCTACTTGTATCAAAATTGAAGCATTGATAACTGGTTCAGAATCATAGCCCGCAAATGCTACTGGTCAATGAGGACTACCTTCACTGGATTCTTACTTGTCCCCAGCACAATGGGTTGCTGAAGACCAATTGCGCCCCGGATCTCCACAGGCCCAATCTATAAGTAATCTTTATTAACACCCTATAATAGAACTGAACATTCACCACAGTCCATAATTTCTTGTGTGTATTACTTACTTTTATACAGAAAACAGCAATGCAGAAAGGGAATATTGTTGCCCAGTAACTATCATTAAAAAGGTTTTCATAGATGTTTGTAACATGATTGCTTTGTCACTCTGTAAAAGGATGCAATTTGGAAAATCTGTGATAATTGGAATTAAATCATTGGTGTGACTGACTATGGTTTTGATGAAAATACATCATCTGTTGCATTGTATTTTGTCATCAAAACTCTTCAAAATCTGTAAACCATCCCATCACAAGCTACAACAAGTGATTATTAGTTGGTAGTATTAAAAATATGCCTCAAGCAATGTCAATGTCTTTATAAAGGTACTGTGGTGTATTTTAGGTTTTAGTTTCATAGATGATTCCAGCACTTTGATGGTAAAACGGCAAAGTAAGCACTTTTCATAAGACATGGTAAAATACAAGCACTTTTCCTATGTGTGCAAGACCCTGGATGTACACTGAGTGTGAGTGACAGACATCTGGCTGCTGCTGCTGCTGGCGGCAGGACTCACTTGCAGTTGTTCTCATGCTGCTCCTGCTCCCACTGTGCCGCCTTCTCCGCGGGGTCCGGCTCGTCCAGGATGCGATAGTCATCGCAGCTGTCAGACCAACTGTTGGACCGCTTGTTCTTCAGCACAGCTACACAAGTATACATACTCACCATTATACATGGTTAGGGCTTCAGACTAGACAACTGGGGTCAGCAATAGGTGTCATGTATCATTTCCGATAAAATTCTTGAAATCGAAATACCAGATTACCTCCAATTAACAAGTACATACAGTTTCAGCAATCTGAGAGAAATATCTTGGCACAACTAGAATGTGTGTTTCACTGTGTACACTGAGAACTCATTCATTTGGTTAAACGTGCAGCTCCAGTATGCTGACAACAACAGGAACTAGGTTTTCATGTTGTACTCATGTAGGAACATGGGTCTTGCTGCTTTCAGCAATATTCCAGCAGTATCACAGTGGGGGACACCAGTCATGGCTTCACACATTGTAACCGTTTTGGGAATCGAACCCAGGTCTTTGGTGTGGCAAGCAAACACTTTAACCCCTAGGCTACTACTAAGCATAGTTACTGGTGCCTATTAGACTTTAATACAGAAGGGCAGTGCACAACTGGTATAGAACTGCCTAGTCAATACTATGGAAAAGTTGGTTCACTACCGTTCGGTCTCTGAAAACAAATTAACTTGTGTATGCTTCAAACAAGTGCCCCTTTGTCACTTTCCTAAGAGCCAGGCGAATATGGTACATTATTAAAATTTGAGTTAGTATACAAGTAGATTTTTAACAGGACTGCCAAATAGGTAGCAGTAGAACCTTTACCCAGTAGTCTACACACTGGCTCTATTCCTGTCATCTGACAAACTGCAGCACAATGACAATTTTATGGCAAATGATACATGAACCCTTAACATACATATCAATGGATCAGACATTTCAAGGATTCATGTTGCTTTAATGACACTGAAACAATTTTCATGAATTGAAAAGAAAGACAATTGAACAGATACGGTGTGCTAAGGGTGAGTTTCGTGTGTGTTAAGGAAATCATTATATCTATATGTTATCATTTGTACAGTGACACAGTATACCAACAATACTTGGTGCACCCAAACCAGACCATGCACCGCAGCTTGTGCAGAAGAACTACCCTACCCTCAGACTGGATCAAGTCCTTACATCTTAATCCACGGCCCACAATCTTGTATGTAAATTTTGTTAACACTGTGCAGCTCAAGGACTTTTTAATCACTTATCCCGAAATTGTATTGATGAATAATTACTTACTTTCTGCATATTCATTATTAACGGTTATGTTAGCTGGAGATTGATCCAGTCTACATTTCCCCATGCATCAAGGACATATCAGTGCTTGATATACTATCAGCTTTACAACTACACTTCACTGTTGGAAATCTTCTGTTGATAACACAATAAGCAATATCAAGGTGAATGAGATACCATAACTGTCAGAATAACAGACATAAATACTTTCCTGATTTCTGTAAAATGCATGAATAATCAAGGTAATATGTATGATTGGTTTAGTTTAACCATGGATATCTCAAGCACTTGAGCAAGCTATATTTCATATTAGTACTCCAGTAATACAAACACAGCAATACAGCACACATGTCAAGTTGAGGGGTGTCTTGTAGGCCTAATGAATGATATATCAACAATGCAGGTAGTCTTGTCCCACTTTCAGAACAGGATATTAGATGACTAGATGAATGATAACAAGACAGGTGCATGCCGCTAGAAATGGAAAAGAACATTCTATTTTATCTTAGATATGTCCATTATTCAAAACATTTAATTCATTAACAATGCTGTTCCTTTATGCAAAGCTTGTATGACCATGCTGGTTGATTTGTGTAAATTCATACCCTGCCTTCATTATTATCTAAATGTGATCTGATTTGAAATAAAAGAAGGTTGAATACAGACATGTCTGATATGTACAGTCAGAACAACGGCAGTGTTTTTCTTCATGTGACATCCACGACTTTCACTGGGTCTATATACAAGCTCTAGGCTCAAATAAACAAACAATATTCCAACAAACAAATAAAAATGAAACAAAAACATCATAAACAAACACACAAACAGATATTTGTTTTCCTAATCAACAATCCATAGTTGTTCAAACTTCAAACAACAATGTATTTCACACTCTGATCATTGATTCAAAACAATCTCCATGGACTGATGATTGTAGACTAGATCTATATTTGCTGATGCAAGGGGAACCAGTTGCCAATTGCAGCTACCATATTCAAAGTAATTAGCACCCGACTAACTTGTAAAATCACCATTCTTGTTCAAAGCTTTGAATTATCTGCTTCTGTGAGGGCTGATATTGCCGACTACATCCCAAGGAACAGGATCATCTTCCAAGCAAAGATTACAACAATACAAATTCAGTGTCACAGAAATCTCTCTGGTCCAAAGAAAATTTGTTTGACAACTGTCTCACATCTATTAACAGACATTCATCCACTGCATCACAAATATTTACAGCAATTTCACATCATTCATTCTGCTAAAATTATACACAATAAAAAGAATGACATTTCAAATTGTCCGCTAACCAGTCTAACCAACCCAATTTTAGCACTTTGTTTGCTCGTTGTTTAACACCACACTCAGCAATATTCCATCAATATGATGGTGGTCTGTTATTAATTGAGTCTGGAACAGACAATCCAGAGATTGATATTTTGAGTGACGATCATGTCATTGTGGTATGATAAGTAATCAACAAAATCACAGAGCCTGACCGCCTCATCACCATGGTCGCATCTTAAAATCAGCACAGGTTGCTGGGGACCTATTCTCATCCAGAATCCCCATTGGGTGGTTTTAGAATAACAGGACCTGATGAACATTAACTGGCATTTGTCTTGTGGACCAGCATATTAGTTTAGTGGACAGCATATTAGTCAACTGGACCAGGGTATATTGTCTTGTGGACCAGCATATTAGTTTAGTGGACAGCATATTAGTCAACTGGACCAGGGTATATTGTCTTGTGGACCAGCATATTAGTTTAGTGGACAGCATATTAGTCAACTGGACCAGGGTTTATTGTCTTGTGGACCAGCTTATTTTGTCTTGTGGACCAGCTTATTTTGTCTAGGGACCAGCTTATTTTGTCTAGGGACCAGCTTATTTTGTCTTGTGTACCAGCTTATTTTGTCTAGGGACCAGCTTATTTTGTCTTGTGTACCAGCTTATTTTGTCTAGGGACCAGCTTATTTTGTCTTGTGTACCAGCTTATTTTGTCTAGGGACCAGCTTATTTTGTCTTGTGTACCAGCTTATTTTGTCTAGGGACCAGCTTATTTTGTCTTGTGTACCAGCTTATTTTGTCTAGGGACCAGCTTATTTTGTCTTGTGTACCAGCTTATTTTGTCTAGGGACCAGCTTATTTTGTCTAGGGACCAGCTTATTTTGTCTAGGGACCAGCTTATTTTGTCTTGTGTACCAGCTTATTTTGTCTAGGGACCAGCTTATTTTGTCTTGTGTACCAGCTTATTTTGTCTAGGGACCAGCTTATTTTGTCTTGTGTACCAGCTTATTTTGTCTAGGGACCAGCATATTTTGTCTAGGGACCAGCTTATTTTGTCTAGGGACCAGCTTATTTTGTCTAGGGACCAGCTTATTTTGTCTTGTGTACCAGCTTATTTTGTCTAGGGACCAGCTTATTTTGTCTTGTTTACCAGCTTATTTTGTCTAGGGACCAGCTTATTTTGTCTTGTGTACCAGCTTATTTTGTCTAGGGACCAGCTTATTTTGTCTTGTGTACCAGCTTATTTTGTCTAGGGACCAGCTTATTTTGTCTTGTGTACCAGCTTATTTTGTCTAGGGACCAGCTTATTTTGTCTTGTGTACCAGCTTATTTTGTCTAGTAGATCAGCTTTTTTGAACAGTGGACCAGCATATTTTGTCTAGGGACCAGCATATTTTGTCTAGGGACCAGCTTATTTTGTCTAGGGACCAGCATATTTTGTCTAGGGACCAGCTTATTTTGTCTAGTGGACCAGCATATTTTGTCTAGGGACCAGCATATTTTGTCTAGGGACCAGCTTATTTTGTCTAGGGACCAGCATATTTTGTCTAGGGACCAGCTTATTTTGTCTAGGGACCAGCATATTTTGTCTAGGGACCAGCTTATTTTGTCTAGTGGACCAGCATATTTTGTCTAGGGACCAGCTTATTTTGACTAGGGACCAGCATATTTTGTCTTGTGGATCAGCTTTTTTTAACAGAGGACCAGCGTATTTGTCTAGGGACCAGCTTATTTTGTCTAATGGATCAGCTTATCTATCTTGAGGACCTGCATATTTGTCGAACCCTGAAAGCTCAGGTCTATATGTTCAACAAGTTGGCATAAACCAAATCAATTATCATTTCAACTAGTACATTAATATGAGAATTAGTAGAGGATTAGCTAACTGAACAGGCCTAATGCCTTTTCCTAAAGGTGAAGTGTAAGGTCTGAACCTATTATGTAACCAGCGTCTGGCACTGATTACTCTGAATATGGTACTTGGTGTGTGCTCTATTTGTTAATTTGTCCCTACAAGAGATGGATAAATGCTGCAAACTGAAGTGAGAAATACAACAGTAGGACCAACTGTATGCACATCTGACATACCTTGTTTGAAAAGTGCAGAGAGGTTTGGATGTGAGGCTACCTCCGAGAGAGGCCCGCCCCCATGTGCAGTGAGGTGCTGGGGGCCTGGGTGGCCCATGGGGGCCTGGGACTGGGCGTGGCTCTCTGGACACGGGGAGGAGATACTGATTAGTCAGCCCTCAGAGGGACATTGACAAGTCATCAAATAACATCATAAGTTCCTCATTTCTTGGTTCACAATATTAAACTTTAAAAATGATACAATCAACTTTCCATAGCAACTTGCATAAACATTAATCCATGGATGGTGTTATTGAATAAATTACAATTTACCACAAATATATATTGTCAATATGTAATGTGTTTTTGGTGATTAAAGATCACAAATTAATCGAAAATATATCAAAAGGAAGATCCAAGAAGTGACGAAATTGTATCTACTATCAAACATGACAGACAAACCAGTTAACTAAACCACAAAATGAAACCTAAAAGTCACAGATACAAAATCACCAAGGAAAGGAGGACAGAATCCACAAAGCACACCAAGCCAAACAGTGGGTAATGGAGGACCATGTCCAGACTGAAGAGATACAGGAGAACAGGGGCAGAGAGGGGGGTGACACTCACTACATCGCCACTACACACAGCCTACAGCTACTACATGCGTAGCCATCATGGTGGCCCTGCTCAGACAGTATTGCCAGGCTTCAGCAGCTCATCTGGCTCAGATGCAATGGCCTAAAGTAAAATAGTGGGGAAAACATGCTATTAATGTTGAAACTTATTGTATGTTGTACAAAGCAAATACTGAACATCATGAACTTTATTATTATCTGGGATTCAATGGTCAAAGTAGCTGTTTCATGGCTGCCATGGAAACCAAACTATACTTTTGAACAAATATTTGGTCATCCATCTATTGTGATGTCAGAGTAAAGGTCACAACTAACATCAGTCACAACTTCCACATTTTAAGGTGTGGCTATAGTCGGTGTTGACAGAATAAAAACAAGAATCACGTGTTAAGATTAACACAGTTTCAACTGCAACTGCTTCCCCCAAAGAAATATAGAAGTTTTATCTACTTTGTATCCCATTACAAATAATAGAGAAGTAAAAATATGATTTAATTCATACAGTTTCAGATTTCTGGTTGCAAGAATGAATTCCTATTAAACTTCTCTATAGTTTCATTTTTCTGAATTAAATTGAATAAAGTTTGATGTCTAGAACAAACTTCAAACCTGTACCGGTAATTGTCTGAACACATACAACAATTTCAACATCAATCCATCAAGCAGTTCTGGAAAATTGAAATTGCAAAAGGTTTACTGAACATTGTGAAGGATGGTGATGGTGGCTTCTTGTGATGACATTAGCATGTATGCCTTTGGTCCATATGTGTTCTATTTAATGGCTTAATGTGAGTAGATATGGTATTCTTCTATTACTGATACCTTTAACTGTGACATAGGTATTGTGTGTCAGGTTGGGGAAAAAGTACACAAAAGATAGGATAGGACTCAAACAAATTTAGTTACAGATTAAATGAATACACAAGATTTCAGCAATCTTTTTTGCAATTTCTTTGAATCCATGAAGTAGAAAGGTGATAGCCAATTATTGCTAAACCAACTCAGAAAGACAAAAAAATGCAAGTTACCGTATCTACCGGGGAGAAGGAGAAGGGAGATAACTCTCAACACACCATACAACTTTTATTCAAGGGCGGATTATTCTGTGTGTAATGTTAAAACTACTAGGTCTATTTTGCCAAGTACATGTATCACATAATCATTGTAATGTCATACTTACAAATTTCCCCAATGAAATAAAAAGAAACCTCAAAATGTGTTTTAAGTGCAACAAACATTTTCATCTTCACTTCATCACAGATGCTTGCTTGCATACACAGTGCTAAAATATGCAGACATGAAACCTATATTGAAAAAAAAGAAAATCATCTTCTTCATCAAGCACTTCTCACCTGACTTTCAGCCTATCACATACCAGAAATACTGTAGACCTACATCATTCATATATTGATGTCTAAACTTTTACAACTGTGTGAGTAAGTTCTATGCCGCTTTAAGCAATATACCCTCCATTGTATGGCAGGTGAACACTGGAAATGGTTTCACACACTGCACCCATGTAGGAAACGTGTGATGAGCCAAAGTTTAACCACTTACTCATTCTTCTTATTAATAGCCTTTGAATATGTTAGGTTTTCTATCTATAGAATAACATTCAGTCAGTAGCACATTCATTCATCTTTAAATATTCTTTTTAAAGATCATAAAACTAACATTTACTGTAAAACTTACTGTGCTTCAACATAACTTTATGCAGAAATGAAACGCTATCTTAAAATTTACTTCTTCATAATGCAATAATGATTACTACATTTTAAAGATATATAGCTGTTTGTTTATCCAACTCGACCAATGAGATCCTGAACCCGGGAGAATGCAGACACATGCATCATCTCCATGTCCCACTGATGAGAAACTGTTGTGAATAGTGAACACACCACACAGCCCTAGAGAAGGAATTCAAAGTAGAAGCCGTGGTGAAAATAAACACATGTCCACACGTATTAATGATAAAAACGTCTCAGTTCATAGATACATTCAAACATTCCTACTCATCCCATCACATGCCTGTTTTGTCGTAACACACAGAATTTTATCTGATCAGGAAAGTATTAACTTGACCAAAGTCTGGATGTTAATTAATTTTGTAAAGTATTAATAAAACAAGGTTTGGTATAAAAAAACAAAACATTTAACCTATAAAGCTTGTTGAAAAAATGACAGTCCAAATAAATTACATATGAAGTTCTTTCGACCAGAATAATTGTTCTTCAAACTAATAGCGAACTACATTAGAAACATTCAGAGAAATCAAGACACTTCTTTCTATCCTAAAACAAGCTCAACAAATCAAAAGTTATTCTACTTCACACACACACACACTGAATGAATCTGTAAGCTTCTTTCATAACCCAAAGCTGAATGTTCTTATGCACTACAATATTTTATTTTACTCCCTAAATCATTGTGATTGCCATTAAAGAAAATACAACAAAGTGATAGAACAGCCTACTCAGAGTTTCCCAGCAATACCAATACTATAAAAGTACTCCAGATGTTATGCCATTTCCCATCAGCTGCATCATCCATTTCATCATCCATATCAATAGAAATATATTTGCTCTGCACTGAAACCGGCCTGTAATCAGGGGTTTGGTGTTAAGTAGTCATTCTAACTGGTCTTGGAGAATTTGCCATGGAAACCAAGTGGTGTCAATTGGCACCAGGATCCGCTAACACGCTAGTCTCTTGAATGTGGCATCTATCACATTATGGGTTGAAAATTTGAACAACAGAACATATACTTGTTTGTTAGTTTACATACACATAACAAACATTTCTTTTATTTTTTAATTCACATATTATGATGAAAAGGTTATTTTTGATATCACTTAATTGAATTAACCTCACCATGCCCTGAAGGAGGTGTGACCAGTTCACCAAGAAGTGTGGGAGATGACATCACATTAGTGAGTGAGTATGGTTTTACGCCGCTTTTAGCAATATTCCAGCAATATCACGGCGGGGGACACCAGAAATGGGCTTCACACATAGTACCCATGTCGGGAATCGAACCCGGGTCTTCGGCGTGACGAGCGAACGCTTTAACCACTAGGCTACCCGACCGCCCTGACATCACATTAAAAAAATGCATATCTCATTGAAGTGTATTAAGTTCCTCATTGCCTTTGTAACCATTCAAACCCACACTCAACAAAAACTTGAAACATACTCCATTCCCTTGCAGGTATCTTCATTGTCCAGTGCATTTAACCATAGTTAGTATACAGACAAGCTGTTGTTATAGAAAGAACAAGCATAGATTGAGAGACCATGCCTTCTCATTTCCATAATGGTTCATATTCAGCATGTAATAAATATAATGCTGGAATCCTAAGTGTCAAACAACATGAGAGAGTATCATTTCAACAGGTCATTACAGACATTTATCATCTTATTGATTTACTTGCTATTGAACAAAACTGCCACAAGAACATACTACAGAATACAGGCATTATTCGTTGAATCAAGTTAACTTCAAGTAGCTTAGAATTATCTTCATCAGAATTCTTTCTCAATTCATTTTCTCTACAATTTTGAATTTTAAAAAACAATTATAGCCACAGCTTGACAAATTATTTTCATTATTAAAAAGGTCCCTACACCATTATGATTGCATCCACAATAGATACACAAAATACATCTGTGAACAATACACTGTAACTACCAAGTTACCAAGCATAAATTCATGCATAGTGTGCTGCAATAAACCATGAAAAGAATGATAACGCATGGATCTATGAAACAAGGGCCTAGATAAGACAGAACACAGATACAAATGGCGGCAAGCCCTTGCTGGATCATGACTTACTAGCTTTGAATCCCTTGAGAAGGTTTGTGACTGAGGAGACGGTATGATAGGGGTTGTACTGTGAAAGAGAAGGGAATAGGAGTAAGACAAGGGGGCTGTTTTGCCTGTTGTCTTTCTACAGACATTGCACACAATCCTCTACACCTAGGTTCTCATCACAGTAGCAGCCTCATGTATCCCTCTAAACCTTCCTCCACATTTTAAACAGTTTTCTACTCCATCCTATATTCATGTGAAGCTCTAAAGGGCTTACAAACCTAATAAACCAACATCTCATCTGAAATCCCTTCCACATCCCACCCACTGTTGGTAACTCAGCCGTACTCTAACAAGGCATGAACTTCATCTTCTATTTATCATTCAATACTATTGAAAACAATAAAAATCAATACACAGATCACTACAATTTGTATTTTAAGTAAAGTTTTGCATTTTCACAACATATTAGAAATCTGAAGTTTAATCATGTTCATAGAAACATGCTATTGATAGCCAAGCAATCTACCACAAGCTCTTCTTTCACTTAAGTCTAGTTTTGGTCATATCCTTGGTCAGACAATTCAATATATCAAACAAGATTTGAAGACATCTGGTATGATCTCCTAGGCTCAATTCTATTTAGTACACATTTCTTCACTATGGGTGTCAAAAGTATTAAGACAGGAAAATGTTTTGTCCCCTCTAAGTTCTATCCCCATGGCAGTGTACAATGTCAGCAGAAGTTGCCGGTTCCAGCACAAGGTTAAGCCACTGCTGATAAAGCAGCAAGGTGTTTGAAATCTCTCTCCCCTCCTGTTACGGCTGAAACAGACTCCATCAGCATGTATAGACAAAGCACAGTAGCACAGATAGACACCTACACAACCAGGGAGCACTCAAACAGCATATAGTCCACTATACAGTGGTGCTGGGGGGACACACACATACATGGTGGGGGACACACTTGAGGCTAAATAATATGATAAATACAGCAAAAAGCAAGGTATGAAGCTTGAGTCGCTAAAAAGGTAAAATAAAGCCTAATGTACAATTCACCATCATTTGTTAGACTTGTGTTATCTGTAAAACCATATTTAACAGAATCAAATGCAGATATATGGGACAATAATATGTTGTGACTAAAATAAAATTATGTCTCAATGAATATTATTTCTATAATTATTATTCGATTTTTGTCAGTTTTTTCATACTGTGATCAAATAGGCAGAAGGGGTAGGTTTGACGAATATTAGTTTTGGTCCAGAGGCTAACCACTCAAACATAGTCATACATTATGGGAAATATAGGAGAAGTGTGAGCCTATTCGAGTGTTTGTACTCAAAAGCGTTTCTGTATACATCGTCAGTGGTTACATGCAGCTAGAGAGTTAGTCAGCTGTGTACACAATGGCATAAGTATCCACTTACCAAGCCTACGTTTATAGCCTATATTGGCACAGAAAACAGGCACAGCTATACACAAGTTAATAGACAATACACATTCAGCATGGTAGACATGAATATAGGAATGATACAAAATATTCCTCATGTTGCAACTGCAGTTAATCTAATAGTTTTTTTTTATCTTTCTTCAAAAAGAATATTTTTTCATACATTTCATTCGCTATTCATAAATCTAATACATATAAATTGGAATTTGTTTTATCGATCTGGCACGTTTTCAAATCTGTGCATGTTAAACAATTTGTAAAGATAACATGTGGTACCATCTTGAATGCAGGTGTTATGCCATGTATTCCCTGTCTACACAAGGCCACTACTTGCTACATAGGGTACTTGAACAAGGGGAACAGAACATCACAACTTCAAAGACATATAGGAAGCAGAAGATGTTCTGCTCATTCACATGTTAAATTACATGTTCTGGTTAATTTCAGGCTAGGTAATCACCATCACCATATTTCAGGTCTCTAAATCAATACATTAAACTGGAAGAGGACTACATGTGAGTCAATAAGCTAAATAAGTGGTGAATGTAAACAAAGGAATAATCCAAACAAAAACAATGGGCCCTGCACCAAAAAGTGGTCAGTGCTACGACTGTCACATGTTCCGCCTTATGTCAACAGTCGTAGCTCGAGTATGCTTTGTGGAACAGTGCCCCTTACAAAACAAGCCCTACTGTCATCAATTGCTATCCCACCACAATAGATAAGTCATGTTAACAGCAAGATAGCAAAAGGTTCAATAGTTCATTGATCTCTTGTTTTCAAGTTTAGACTCAGGCAGTGTGCAATGTCCGAGGGCGGTGTTTCTTCAGAAACCTAGCTGTGGCAATGATGTGGCAATGATGTTGCAACAGAATGCAGTTCAGCGATTGGGTGAGTAAGTGAATGTTCCTCAACATCAGTCAGCACTATTCCAGCCATATCATATCATGGCAGCCTGCATGTAATTAATCTGGATCGGGCAAATCAGGGACTGAAGGCATAAGCAATGATTCCCACTGTCAGGGTACACTGTCACACAATCACACAGAGCCTCATCAACAGTTTTGTTGGTTTTCATGACAAGCCCCAAGTGCTGGGGACCAGATCTGACCCAGAATCCATACTGGGTAAGAGAATAACTATTTATGAAGTGAGTGAGTTGAGGTTCATGCTACTTTCAGCAATAGTTTTGGAAATCGAATCTGGATCCTTAGTGTGATGAGCAAACACTTTAACCACTAGGCGGCCCCTATATACCTGGACATCATCCACTGTTAATCAAGAGAATAAAGTTTAGAATTATTTCAGCTAGATGTGGTCATCCAATTATTGACCTATCTGTGCTGAGCCCAGAGTGATAAAGGCTGAAATGTATAGAACTTTCGTGAAACCCACAAGCTCAGATATGGTGCTGAGAGAACCAGGATCATAATCAGTTCGATGCTTGGATCTGAACCCATGATCAGCAGATCCTTGTACAGCAGAGGGACATAACTCGTAGTGTCTCACCATGGTGATGACATTGTGCACCTTAAACTTAATTTACGATATAAGATCCTTTCATAATTTAGGCCCCCATCACACTCATGCCCATATCATGCCCTGTTCACCACACAGGCCCAGTAGCGCCAGTGTCATCATGGAGCAAACAGTATGATACAGACACTGATGTACCCCCTCAATCACAGAAGTGGGAGAGTCCCCCGTCTCTAACATCTGGGTGATATCACACCATCCTACATAAACTATCACCCTGTCAACTGCCTGTATATGTCTGTCAATGAACTGTTCAACTCTCTTGTTATTGCAAACTGTAATATCGCAAACTACCTACATAACTACAAACCTGGACCACATTCCTGCAAGAAAGATGTCTTTAAATATTAACAAAAACATGAACAGGTGATGGACCAACTCACAACTTGCTCCACTGTTATCAGAAAGTAGCCCTGACTTTGTGTCCTGACTCATCCTAGTTTCCATAAAGGAAGTTTCCAAGAACAAATGTTGAGATACTGTTTCCAAGGTTGACACATCAATTTCCACATTTTTATGACATTACTGACATATTTTTGGTTCACAGTGTCATTCTGGCAAACGAATGATTACGAAGATTGAGTTTCCACAATTCCTGCTACCACTCTGTTGAAGTGACAATCAGTGACAGACACCACTGCTTCAGCACCAACAGTAGAGCAGGTGTTGGGAGCTGGCCTCCAGACCAAACCCAGTCAGAGAGATGGGAGTAGTCAGTGAATATCACCAAGTAGGAAAGGCCAAAACAAGTTGAATTGTTTTGGAAAGGACACAAGACACTTTGGGGGAAGTTTCTTCTTCCCACTAGTGTTGATAGAAAACTGCCTACATGGCACTCCATGATGGGAAGAACGTAAGACATTTTGCCAGTGCAATGGATTTATTGGATGTCTCTTCATCAACATGGCAAAGGTACCAACATATCTGTACCTACATTCTTGATGACTCTCTGATTGGGTGAGGCCAGGTAAACACAAATAATCAAGTAAACACAGTCAGGACTTACGCAATAAGCTCCACCCACTATCTGTGCTACTTCCAAGATATGTAATGTTAGCATCAGTCTAGATAAACAACAAACGACTAGCATTCAGTCCACATCACAGCATGGGAAAAACTCGGGGAAAAATCATCATCAGTTAGTCTTACTCGTTTAAATTTTTTTAACAAAATTAATGTTTTTGTTTTTCCAGCTGAAATTATTTTTACTTCGTATTTGTTTTTCCATAAATAAATCCATTAACAAAAGTGAAAACAAAGTTACTGACTCTTATTGGACTGTAAAATTTGTAGAATAATACAAATGCAACATCTACAGTTAAAAAGTTTAGAAGCAAAACGCCAAATACTAATGTTGCAGGGTTCATTTAATATCAGTGACTACATACTGCTTACAAATGGGATCCCATTCCTATCTAGGACAAAGGAATACATAAGCACTTCTAGGGTAAATACCCAGTACAGAACAAACAAAACAGTGTTCAACAGCAGCTGTATGATGACAAGGTATAGTTAGAATGGAATAAATCTGTACACTTTAATATCAGTCACAAAAGGGAGATCTCTACAGGATAAAATTTCAACTAAATTGATAATAAACTTCTGTGCTCTGTCCACAATAACATAATTATATACATCAATTATAATACATATTTGGCATAAACTTTATGATTCATGGTAGTAGAAAACAACTTTGGATGAAAATCTTAAATAATCAAGTAAGGATAAGATATATGGATGACCAACTTCTTTATTACAATTAGGAGCGACACAAATAATCAAATTTAAATGGTTCAATTTTGAAATGTAGCTGAATGGATTTATCTTGGACTGCAAACTAAGAGCCCTCGGGAAGCACACTAGGAAAGGAATTGGTATTTTGCCAAATTCAAAATTATTTTAACGTTGTAATTTAACATTGCATTCAATGTAATAAAGTAAAATTAAGTATCAATGCCTCTTTCTCTTCTTTTCCTATCTACAAAGCCATAACATTACTTACAATAACAACAAGAACTGGGAAATTGTTAATTGCAATAAGAAAATTTGTACTGCATTTGTCCCGGACTTGGGATCAAATATTGGCCTGTCAAGGAAAGTCCCTGTGTAATGTATTTGGACTGTAAGACATGAGGCTAGTGGCAGGATGTGGGATGGAGCTTACATTAGCTGGCGTGTACTCCAGCGAGGTCTTGGAGGCAGACCTGGCAGCAGCTGCAGCGGCTGCACGGTGGACGTCCTCCTTGTTCCAGAATACGCAGCACAACATGGCCAGCGTCTGCACATCGTAGTAACTGCTGTAGTGGTCCAGCCTAGTCTCAGGAAAAGGATAGCAAGTTAGTGAGTGACTGACTGAGCTAAAATACATGTCCCAGTATTCAAACCATTTGTGACCAGAAAAAGTATTACATTTAATTTATATAAGAACCTGTCAAAAAGGACAGTAAAATCTCAGATTAATACTTAAATTGTTTGTTTGTTGTTTAACGTCACACTCAGCAATATTCCATCAATATGACGGCAGTCTGTAAACAATTGAGTCTGGACAAGTCAATCCAGTGATCGACATCATGAGCATCAATCTACACAATTGGGATACGATGACATGCATCAACCAACTGGTAAAACATCGCCAGCAACCAAAATTTGGACACCATACCAAGGACACTTAAGTACCGCTGCTGCCTTCATAGTGCCCCAGCAGGATTTAAACCATCCCTTTAGTCAGTGGTGATTGTTGGCAAGATCAGCTGCCAATAAAACTTTTCAGTACTTTGACTAAAACAGTGATAGACATACAAATACTTTAATTCATGTAGTCTCAGAGGGACTATTTGAAGGTACAGCCAGGGTGACATTGCGGTCTCAGAGGAACTATTTGAGGTACAGCCAGGGCGACATTGTGGTCTCAGAGGGACTATTTGAAGGTACAGCCAGGGCCACATTGTGGTCTCAGAGGGACTATTTGAGGTACAGCCAGGGCGACATTGTAGTCTCAGAGGAACTATTTGAAGGTACAGCCAGGGCAACATTGTGGTCTCGGAGGGACTATTTGAAGGTACAGCCAGGGCCACATTGTGGTCTCAGAGGGACTATTTGAAGGTACAGCCAGGGCCACATTGTGGTCTCAGAGGGTATCGGTAGATCAAGACTAAACATAAACATGTGTTTGACATACTTGGAGTGAGTTAATTTCATGTAGAAAAAAATAAAATAAATAGAATTTTGTTTTGTTGAAAGATGTATAACTTGATGAGGAAATCAAATTTGGTTTGGACAGTTTTACGCTAATCATATAAAAAATTCAAGGGCACTGTATCAGGTAAAATAATCTACTGAAAATAAACTTGGTGTTATTCAACTTTCCTTGCAGTGAACATAAAGACAAATACCCCGGGTACAGCCAGCAACAATTACACAGCAACAAAACCCATGGGAAGTCTGGGTTAGAACCTTTGGTGGTTGTCAGAGGCAACCCTGATGGCCTGGATTGTTGTTCATCATATTCTGCTTGTATGCCCATGCTCTCCATAGTTGTATATTTCGCTTCTTCCATTTTTGTTCTATACTAAAGTTGGGCACAAATTTTCAATTGGCAATTTGTTGGGCACAGTTGTATGCTTTGGGCACATCCTATTGCTCTAGTGGAAAAAATATTGTAGGGAGTGCCGAAATTGGGGGTGCCAAAGAAGAAAAATGCGCTCTCTTGAATCGCATCATCATTTTTGCATAAAAAATTCCCTCTGTAGTAGTGGTATAGGTATATAAATCTGGCTCCAGTGGAAGTGGTCCAGAACCATCATTGTCTATACTACAACAAGATTACAAGACTTGATTACCCCGTTCATATAGCCGGAATGTAGTGTGTCATCTAACAACAAACACTCAGACTGTATGTATGCATATATATATATATATATGAGTTGGTGAATAGGCCAAATCATATTGAACGGTGGGTTGGTTGGACACCCACATTGTTTTGAGCAGCGGCCGTCCAAAGGCAGTCATGGCGAAGGGTCTGCAGCTGGTGGGAGTAGGACTTGGGTTGAGACTGGCTGGTAACATCACAGACACATAGTTCCAGATCTGCAAGGACAACAGCAGTATTTCTACAGATTACAGGAGTCAATGTCTGCTGGTAACATCACAGACACATAGTTCCAGATCTGCAAGGACAACAGGAGTATTTCTACAGATTACAGGAGTCAATGTCTGCTGGTAACATCACAGACACATAGTTCCAGATCTGCAAGGACAACAGGAGTATTTCTACAGATTACAGGAGTCAATGTCTGCTGGTAACATCACAGACACATAGTTCCAGATCTGCAAGGACAACAGGAGTATTTCTACAGGTGCAAGTGTCAATACCCAACATATTCACTGAGGTGTAACAAGTGAGTTTGATTCAATGCTGCTTTGAACCAAATTTCACCTTTATCACTATGTGTCAGCTTGATATGGGAGGAAAGCCCCCTATCTTACATGCTACCACTTTGGTGAAACCCAGAACCATGGGTGTGGTGCTGACAAATCTAGAAACATAATCAGGGTGAATCTGGCACAACCAAGGAGTGTAACTTTGCACACCAAATAAGACGACTGTGCCCTTGGTACCTCTGGTTATCTGGCATGGTGCTCAAAATCTATTAATCCCCTACAGTGGAATATAGAGTGGAAACACTAACCTGTACAAGATCCTTACGTCCGACAACAGCGGCAGCAGCAGCGTTATGACTGCACATCCCGGGGATGTCGGACAGGTCCAGTCTACAACAGATAGGGGGTCACCATGCAGGCATCTTGACAGAAACAGGACAGCTCTCATGACTTATATTGAGCTGGCTGATGACCGAACAACTCTGGTTATTTTTGTGCAAATCATTTTGATCTCCAGTCGAAATCACACTTTGCACTGCATCTCTCCTATTGGTATAGAAACTGTACCCACAATTGGAAAAGAATCCATGAAGTAGATTATAGGTCGCACAAATGTTGAAGTAAAAACAACATTCTAAGTTCAAAACATGACAAAAATCATATTTTTTCCAAAAATACACATATCAATATCAAACTTAGCTCTGAAACCCCTGCTCTTCGTATAGAAAGTATTCACCAAATGTGAAAGAATCTATGCAGCAGTTTTCAAGTTATAGGTTGCCCACAAAAATGCAGAAGGATGACTGGACGGAATTCCTTGGCATAACTCTATACCCCCAACTTGACAACTTGACAACTTGACAACTTGACATATGTTATCTAGGTCATAACAATGGGAATTATTGATTACTATTTCTGAATGTTTTCTTTTAGAAGGAAATATCCAGAATGGAAGTGATTCTATCTAAACTGAATGGGAACGCTAATGCCTGTCAATATAGCCAAATACTGACTGCTTTAAGTTGTAGAAGGATGTCAATTTGAAGTAGACTTTTATCTTATCCATTATCAATCAGTTGGAAATGCCACTGATTAGCAATTTCCAGGTCAATTTGCATAACTATTGTTTAGTGCTACAAAAAATGAAGAGACATATTTCTAAATGTCCTTAGCTACTCACTTATAATTCTCTGCTAGTTGCTTGTGTACAGTGAGCAGTGCTGACACATCGTATACTTTGACAGGGGCCACCTTATTCAGTTTCTTGGCTGCCTTCTCTGTGTCCCTGTACCGTGACTCCGACACCTCACGCACACGCGACCTGCTGCGTGTCCGGTGTCGCTGAAACAGATTAGTAAAGCCTCGGTCAAATTGGCTCTATAGCTAGGATACGGCAGCCGTAGCCCCCCCAAATCGAGAGATACCTGCAGCAGCCATAGAATACCTGCAGTGGCCTCAGGGTCGCCCTAGGGCGTATGCCTATCTTTTATAGGCCGTAGGGGTCGCTGTGGGATTATAGCACGGAGTTATAACTTTTTTAATTTCTAGGTTCGCCGTACCAATGAGAAATGTCATAGCCATGCCATAGAGCGGCTCCACGGCAACCATACGTACAGTGGCCTTGCGTTTGCCGTGCGGCTACCCAAGGATCTTATGAATTACAATTGACTTTTGTTGACCCCCCCAAAACTGCGGAGGCATGGTGCCAAACCTGTGAAACTTTGTTATGAAATGTCTGTCTTGTGAAATGTCTTGATGTGTGTGGCAGCAGAAAATGTGACAGAGGCATAAAAAACATGCTAGTACTGGTGATTATTGGAAATCAAATGAAACACTGAAGGAAATTCAATGAGTAAATGTAGTTCCAGTCATATCTTGATTGAAAGAAAACAAATGAATCTGGACCATGAAAACCAGTGGACAACAACATGAGCAACAATCCATGGAGGACAGTGACATGCAAACTCCAGGACACACATTTTGAACACCAGACCCTCTTCACACAACACATACAGGTTCCTGGGAAGCTAATCTGCCCGGAGTCCCCACTGCAGGGGAGGCAGAAGTTCACACATCAGGCTACTTTAGCAGACTATTCTTCATCTGCCTCACCTTAACACTCAGGACTTGAGTTCTTGAAAACCATAAGGAGTCCAAGCCAGCTGCTTCAACTAACCACAGTCATTGTCTGGTCCAAGTACTCCTCATACATCTGCTTATATTTCCTCATTCATCTATATAAACAGCAACATATGTTGTATCCAAGGTGAATGAAGAGTGTTGCATGCTTCTCTTGCCAATCACAAGATGTTTACGCCACTGTAGTTTCTAATCACAAGTTGTCCGTAAGATGTTTTCCTGAATTGTCCCTACTCCATGGCTTGCTATTTCTCAGTTACAAATGCTTATCTTGACCACTGAGTTCTCTAAGATGACCTGCCCTCATTGACTAAATGACAAACATGGGAATCTGATGTCACAGTGTATGTCCACATGGCAAGTCAAGTCCCACGATATAGCTGTAAGACAACCTGCATCATAAAACAACAATAACTCACTCACTACCTTTGAAATAAAAACTGATAGAAAATGATGCTCTGGCAATGTGATGCCATTTCCATTTGAGCAAAGCTCTGTGCATATACAGAGCTGTACAGGTAGATAGTATGGTACGGCCTTGGCATCAGATACAAATGGACTAGCATTCCAATCCACTTACTCTTTCCTTGTATGTGTAGAAGTCACTGATTGACAAACCCTCATTGCTTGGCGTTGGAGGACTGCGAGGGAAGAAGGGTGCAAAGGGTGTTGCATTCTGGGATGGTCTGGCAAAGGCAGCTAGTTCTGACAGAGCTCTGTGAACAGATGGAGGTTGTACCTGAATACTGCTTTCTGAAGGGTGTTATGGAATAGGGCTGGGACGAATCCGAATTTACTACCCAGGTACCCATCGCCCTATCACCCGACCCTAACCGGGTACACCCTGTAGGTCTCAAGAGATGGGTACAAAATGTACGATTGTGCATTTTGTTTTACCATAGCCCTGGCAAAACGTATTTAGATACATGTATTAAACAATATGGTCATGCATACACTGAGGTTGACTTAAGTTATATCTTTATTCAACCATATGAAAAGTCAGAAGAAATGGGTGCATAGTCAGTAAGAAATGTGAACATTAGTGACTTGTAGTGAAACCACAGAGTTCTAGATATTTTTTTTCAATAAACAATATATCCGTGACTAACCACTGGTCTGGGTAGTCATGTGGGTACCCAGGTCCTACTCAGTACCCACCCTACCCGGGTACCCAGGGTTACCCCTCCCAGCCCTATTATGGAACAATGCAATGTTACTGCTATATCCCCTACTGCACCAGTGTCACACAGGGGATACAAAAATGGAGAATGTTATTCATTTGGTTGATTCAAAATGTTGTTTTTTTAAAGTTCTACACACAACACCTTCAGTTGTGCTTGAATCTAGAAATCTTACTTGGGTGTGGGTTCTGTTCCGTCATGTTTCTTCATCACAGCAGAGCGGCCAAATATCACCAACACACCTGCAACATGTAACATTACATTCCACATCATCAACAAAGCAGGACTGGGGCCTGCTTGTCTTGGGCAAATACAACCAGTGACCACCTACCTACAGAGCAGGACTGAGGTCTGCTTGTCTTGGGCAAATACAACCAGTGACCACCTACCTACAGAGCAGGACTTAGGTCTGCTTGTCTTGGGCAAATACAACCAGTGACCACCTACCTACAGAGCAGGACTGGGGCCTGCTTGTCTTGGGCAAATACAGTCAGTGACCACCTACCTACAGAGCAGGACTGAGGTCTGCTTGTCTTGGGCAAATACAACCAGTGACCACCTACCTACAGAGCAGGACTGAGGTCTGCTGGTCTTGGGCAGATACAACCAGTGACCACCTACCTACAGAGCAGGACTGGGGCCTGCTGGTCTTGGGCAAATACAACCAGTGGCCACCTACCTACAGAGCAGGACTGGGCCCTGCTGGTCTTGGGCAAATACAACCAGTGACCACCTACCTACAGAGCAGGACTGAGGTCTGCTTGTCTTGGGCAAATACAACCAGTGACCACCTACCTACAGAGCAGGACTGAGGTCTGCTGGTCTTGGGCACATACAGTCAGTGACCACCAACCTACAGAGCAGGACTGGGGCCTGCTTGTCTTGGGCAAATACAACCAGTGACCACCTACCTACAGAGAAGGACTGAGGTCTGCTGGTCTTGGGCAGATACAACCAGTGACCACCTACCTACAGAGCAGGACTGGGGCCTGCTGGTCCTGGGCAAATACAACCAGTGGCCACCTACCTACAGAGCAGGACTGGGCCCTGCTGGTCTTGGGCAAATACAACCAGTGACCACCTACCTACAGAGCAGGACTGAGGTCTGCTGGTCTTGGGCAGATACAACCAGTGACCACCTACCTACAGAGCAGGACTGGGGCCTGCTTGTCTTGGGCAAATACAGTCAGTGACCACCTACCTAAAGAGGAGGGCTGAGGTCTGCTTGTCTTGGGCAAATACAGTCAGTGACCACCTACCTACAGAGCAGGACTGGGGTCTGCTTGTCTTGGGCAAATACAGTCAGTGACCACCTACCTACAGAGGAGGACTGAGGTCTGCTTGTCTTGGGCATATACAGTCAGTGACCACCTACCTACAGAGCAGGACTGGGGTCTGCTTGTCTTGGGGACATACAGTCAGTGACCACCTACCTACAGAGCAGAATCGAGCTCCGCTTGTCCTGGGGAATGGAACGCTGGAGTCTTGGAAGCTTCCAAAGCTGTACATTGGGTAGATGGGCGTGGTCTGCATCATGTTTTGCTGCTGGGTCAGGGGGAATGGAATGTCAAGGTCAGGTGTCTTCCTCTCAGTTTTCTGTACACGAAAATACAGACACACACTGTAGAACCCACACATTCTGAGAATGATGAACTACCGATATATGTTCTGGCAGTTCACGATTGAGATGCTGACAGGGAGAAATGTGGACCATTGAAGACATTAAAATTACTGGCCTAAAGCGTGTAAAGAGTGATTCCTGGACTTACAGTGAGAGTGTCCAGCTCTGTTATCAGCTGTCGGAGGCATGGCTCCAGGCAGTTCATGTTCCTCTTCACATGCTTTTGGGATGTGTCTGTCAGAACCTGCAACATGATGGCTAGGTTAGTATAAAACACTGTCATCTGTAAGAGGTAAATGTAATACACTATACATGGGTATATCCCACTGTCAACATGGGCCAAGATATAACACAATGAAGAATACATGGGCCAGGATATAACACAATGAAGTATACATGGTCCAGGATATAACACTATGAAGTAAACATGGGCCATGACATAACACCAGGAAGTATACATGGGCCGGGATATAACACAGTGACGTATACATGGGCCAGGATATAACACAATGAAGTATACATGGGCCAGGATATAACACAATGAAGTAAACATGGTCCAGGATATAACACTTTGAAGTAAACATGGGCCATGACATAACACCAGGAAGTATACATGGGCCAGGATATAACACAATGAAGAATACATGGGCCAGGATATAACACAATGAAGTATACATGGGCCAGGATATAACACAATGAAGAATACATGGGCCAGGATATAACACAATGAAGTATACATGGGCCAGGATATAACACAATGAAGTATACATGGGCCAGGATATAACACTATGAAGTAAACACGGGCCATGACATAACACCAGGAAGTATACATGGGTTGGGATATAACACAATGACGTATACATGGGCCAGGATATAACACAATAAAGAATACATGGGCCAGGATATAACACTTTGAAGTAAACATGCTCTAGGTAATAACACAATGACGTATGCATGGGTCAGGATATAACACAACGATGTATACATGGGCCAGGATATAACACTTTGAAGTAAACATGCTCCAGGATATAACACTTTGAAGTAAACATGCTCCAGGATATAACAAAATGAAGTAAACATGGGCCGGGATATAACACAATGAAGAATACATGGGCCAGGATATAACACAATAAAGTATACATGGGTCAGGATATAACACAATGAAATATACATGGGCCTCAATGAGCTGTTTCTGCATTGTAGCATGGGGGAGGTAATATTTACCTTGATGAGCTGTTTCTGCATGGTAGCATGGGGGAGGTAATATTTACCTTGATGAGCTGTTTCTGCATGGTAGCATGGGGGAGGTAATATTTACCTTGATGAGCTGTTTCTGCATGGTGGCATGGGGGAGGTAATATTTACCTTGATGAGCTGTTTCTGTATGGTGGCATGGGGGAGGTAATATTTACCTTGATGAGTTGTTTCTGCATGGTAGCATGGGGGAGGTAATATTTACCTTGATGAGATGTTTCTGTATGGTGGCATGGGGGAGGTAATATTTACCTTGATGAGCTGGTTCTGCATGGTAGCATGGGGGAGGTAATATTTACCTTGATGAGCTGTTTCTGCATGGTCAATTGGGGAGATAATATTTACCTTGATGAGCTGTTTCTGTATGGTCCATGGGGGAGGTAATATTTACCTTGATGAGCTGTTTCTGCATTGTCCATGGGGGGGGGGGGGGGGAGAGGTAATATTTACCTTGATGAGCTGTTTCTGCATGGTCCATGGGGGAGGTAATATTTACCTTGATGAGCTGTTTCTGCATGGTCCATGGGGGAGGTAATATTTACCTTGATGAGCTGGTTCTGCATGGTCCATGGGGGAGGTAATATTTACCTTGATGAGCTGTTTCTGTATGGTCCATGGGGGAGGTAATATTTACCTTGATGAGCTGTTTCTGCATGGTCCATGGTGGAGGTAATATTTACCTTGATGAGCTGTTTCTGCATGGTGGCATCCAGGGTGCTGTGGAGGAACTGGAATGATGGTGAGGCATTGTTTGGGTAGTCAGGGGGGAAATTGAGATTGAGGCTGACCCGCCGCTTCCCAATCTGTGCCGTCACTTTACATACACGATTGATTGCGTCCATCTGAAGATAAAATATACAGGAGTGATTTTTATCGTGCAAATGATTCATTTCATACATGACGTTTAGCAATATTCCAGCCATAAAGTTAATGGGGGACACTAGAAATGGACTCACACATCGTACCCATATTGGGGAATGAACCCATGTCTGAGGCGGACAAGTCAACACCATAATCACCATGTTACCCATCCCTCCCTTTTATGGTGAAAGCTGATTAACACACACAAAAAAAGCTCACCTCTTCAATGGTAACATGAGGAATATTCTTGTTCACCAAGGAAAACTCCTGTTGCAAAGTTTGTGGTTGGTTGGACATGGTGCCTTGGCTGATGACTGGCTCAGACACTGTTGGGTTCTCGTCTATAACGGATAGAGAATCAAGAGCAGACTCGAGAGTTGCTGGAGTTGACTTAGACAGATCTCCAACCAGGTCAGGCAGATTGTTGGTGTCATGGCCGCACAGCTGCAAACAGAAGAGTTCATCGTGAGATCAGGTCTTCCTGGGGATCTACTTGGACGTACAACAGAATGAAGTCTCATGCACAGTAAGCCCAAACTGAGCATGGGTTGGTTGAAAAAATACAAATGAATTTGTGTCGCTCCATAAATTTTCTCAACAATTGGCATGGTTTGGTCATAATAAAAAACACAAATGTATTTGTGTAGCTCAGTGTTTATCATACTGCACATACAATCTCTTTAGTCCATGGTTCGTGATGTACCTAACATCAAGGTATACTACAATACATAAGACTGACAGAACGCCTGGTTCTCCCAAGTACCCTTCAAAGTGATCTTTGGACCCGTGAAGATCTGGGCTAGAATAGGTCTTCAGCAACACATGCTTGCCGTAAAAGGCGACCATGCTTGTTGTAAGAGGCGACTAACGGGATCGGCTCGCTGACTTGGTTGATGCATGTCATCGTATCCTAATTGCGTGGATTGATGCGGATGATGTTATTCATTGGATTGTCTGGTCCAAACTTGATTATTTACAGACCGCCGTCATATTGCTGGAATATTGTTGAGTGCGGTGTTAAACAACAAATAAACAAACAAAGAAACAAATTGTAGAAAAAATAAAAAATATAATGGAAATATTTATGTACACCAATATTGTTTTCGAATGTTGAATCTGCGTACCAAAATTTGATTTTATCAGCTGGATGTTTTGAGAGAAAGGACAACTTCTAGAGTTCAACATAAGAAACAGAGATTATCTTCATTACTGGTACTACAAAGTCCTTCATAAAACAGCAGGTAAATCATGTTGCCAGACAAACTAGATGCCAATATCAAACATAATTGACATCCTGGAAATATATTATGTCTTATTCAAGTCCTTATTGTACATAAATAACAGAAGCAATAAATCCAAGGTAATAATAACCACTACAGGTGTACACAACAAAACGATCACGCTTGGATGACCAAATAACTGCAACTACAAATTTGTATCCATAAATCAAGACTGCTAACGTGAGAAAGATACTTTGTGACGACAAGGTAGCGTTAGAATGCATGCTTCCATTCAGATAACAGACAGACAGATTTCGTTACATAATATGTCAGGTCAATTTACTAACTCCGGCTAAGGGACCAACCAGATAATATTCTGGTTGTTGGTTGGTTGGTTTGTTGTTTGGTGGTGGTGTGGATGGTGATGTGGTGGTGTGGGTGGTGTGGGTGGTGGTGTGGGTGGTGGTGGTGGTGGTGATGGTGGTGGTGTGGGGGTGATGGTGGTGGTGGTGGTGGTGGTGGTGTGGGGGTGATGGTGGTTGGTTGGTTGGTTGGTTGGTTTGTTGTTTAACGCCGCACTCAGCAATATTCCAGCTATATGACGGCGGTCTGTAAATAATCGAGTCTGGACAATCCAGTGATTGATATCATGAGCATCAATCCACGCAATTGGGGGTGATGGTGGGAGGGTGGTGGTGATGGTGGTGGTTGGAGGGTGGTGTGGTGGTGTGGATGGTGATGTGGGTGGTGATGGTGGTGGTGGTGATGGTGGTGGTGATGGTGATGGTGATGGTAGTGGTGGTGGTGGTGATGGTGGTGGTGTGGTGTTGATGGTGGTGGTGGTGGTGATGGTGGTGGTGGTGGTGGTGATGGTGGTGGTGGTGGTGGTGATGGTGGTGGTGGTGGTGATGGTGGTGATGGTGGTGGTGGTGGTGATGGTAGTGGTGATGGTGGTGGTGGTGGTGGTGATGGTGGTGGTGATGGTGGTGGTGGTGGTGGTGGTGATGGTGGTGGTGATGGTGGTGGTGATGGTGGTGGTGATGGTGGTGGTGGTGGTGGTGATGGTGGTGGTGATGGTGGTGGTGGTGATGGTGGTGGTGATGGTGATGGTGATGGTGGTGGTGGTGGTGATGGTGGTGGTGGTGGTGATGGTGGTGGTGGTGGTGTGGTGGTGTGGATGGTGATGTGGTGGTGTGGGTGGTGATGGTGGTGGTGGTGGTGGTGGTGGTGTGGTGATGTTGGTGTGGTGATGTTGGTGTGGTGATGTTGGTGTGGTGATGTTGGTGTGGTGATGTTGGTGTGGTGATGGTGGTTGTGACGGTGGTGATGGAGGTGGTGTGGGTGGTGGTGTTGATGGTGATGGTGGTGGTGATGGTGGTGGTGGTGGTGGTGGTGGTGGTGATGGTGATGGTGGTGTGGTGATGTTGGTGTGGTGATGTTGGTGTGGTGATGGTGGTTTTGACGGTGGTGATGGAGGTGGTGTGGGTGGTGGTGGTGGTGGTGATGGTGGTGGTGGTGGTGATGGTGGTGGTGATGGTGATGGTAGTGGTGGTGGTGGTGATGGTGGTGGTGATGGTAGTGGTGGTGGTGGTGGTGGTGGTGATGGTAGTGGTGGTGGTGGTGATGGTTGTGGTGATGGTAGTGGTGGTGGTGGTGGTGGTGATGGTGGTGGTGATGGTAGTGGTTGTGGTGGTGATGGTGGTGGTGATGGTGGTGGTGGTCAT